CACTTTAAAGTGTGTTAATACATGATAACATACATGATATAACATGTGCTATGATGTATACATGTGGCAGAAAAAAAAATCAAACAGTTATCAAGAGCATAAAGATAAAAACCAACACATGATGGAGACGGATTGTTGGAACACAACCTTAAGTCCAAGACAACAGCATGTCACATGTGACATTCCTGCAAAAAAAAAAACACATCAACGAACTGAGCCACCAGAAAACGCGTCCAAGCTGTCATGTGGACGTGGTCTGCAACATGCCATCCAAACGGGGCAACACATCTGGCGGAAAGGTGTGGCGTCCTACGCTGCCCCGACTCCTACGCTGTTCCGTTACCCTGTTTCTACCTGTTTTTGTTTAGTGGGGTGTCCGCACTCCCCAAGTGAGGCTTTTTGGTTCAAGTGGATGCTGCAACTGGTGCCAAAAAGGTTAAAGCTGATCCACTTTTCCCGGGGCTGTGGACTGTTTCGACGTGTCAGGACGGCTTTGGACGTGTCCGCCCCCCCCCCCTCAACACACGTACACATACACCAGGAGCTTCATAGTCAAACATTGCAAATGGGGGGACGCCGATGAATCTCAAAAGCATTCCAAAACCATCTCAGCATAGGGGTTGGCTTTCCTCCGGATGCTCTGTATGTAGAAGCCTCAAGTAGGAAAGGTGCAACATGGTAGTGGCAAAACCTGAAAGACCCAATGTCGATGGTCAGTAGACCCTACAAAAAGTTAGTACGACTCAATCAAATCATGACAAAAGTTCTGGATGATGATAATACCAAACGAAAGTTCTCCCAACATGTTGATATTTAATGTCAATGTGTTTTAAGATGTTTTAAGGCTATATAAACAACGTAAGCGTCCTACTGTTCATCCTCAAGGCGACAATGACACATCGATGAACAACATTTGGCTGGTCAAAGTTACAGAATGGTTGATGAATCCTAGAAGCCTAGAAGTCCAACTACTATACTATTTCCCCACTCAAGTGGATGAAGGTGCTGTGCCTCTTCGGATCACCTCGTCAGCTCCAGCCTTGCCACTCCCACCAATCGACCAAATCCTAGCCCAAACACGACCAATGAATGGGACTGGCATACTTACTGTACCAACATATATGGGGTGGTTCTTTTCAGGCGACACATGGAACTGTTTGAGGCCATATGGGTCCTGTCTGGGTGGACTGCCGCACCTCGTCGTCCCGTTTTCCATTCGTCCGCGGACCCACTGAGACCCCCGAACCTAACCAGGTCCGGAGCGGATTCCTGGGAGCTGGGGTCGGGCGCGGTCCGGGTCTGTGGGGACACCGCAGGGTTGGAGGTCACTGAGATGCATGGAATGGATGACTGTGATATTATAGCACATTGAAGTACATCATGGATTCAATGATAAACAATTGGTAGAATGATGTAGAAGGCAAAGGAACTTCAAACAGAAAGTCACGAGGCAAAGCATGGAAGCCCTGTTCCTGGTCGAACAGAAATACCCCATGAACAAATTTGAATGACTACTAGAATCTGAGTAGCTGAGTAGCTCAATCTATTTCGTTGTGACTTGAAATCATCTGGACAGAAATGACAACCAGTGGCACCAGGAGGCCGCTGCCCACCGGGAGAAAGCCAACCTTGCCCGCCGATGTACAGCAAAAACATACAAAAAAAACGACTCCCCCCCCATATGAGTTTGGAGATGTTTGGAGTGATGTTCGAAACGGTTCATGTGCCGTCCCCGCGCCTGGCGCGACCACTGGCGGCTCCGTCGACCTGCGGCGTCCGCATGGTGCGTGCGCCGCATCGAAGGAAAGCGCTTTGAAGTGCCAAGTTGTGTGTGTGTCCTAGAAGCAAGTGCAAACCCAAACACTCCATGGGATGTTGTATGAACTCCTTTTCGTTGAACAGTTGGTACCACTCTTGGACGCACTCCACAAGCCGAAGTCCCAAGTGGAGCCGTCAAGCTGAGCCTAAACAAAGCTCCGCGTCTGGCACCATCCTCCATTTTCTGGTACTGAGAAGGTAAAATAAACCCAAAAGCAAGTCAGTGTGAACATGCAAATTTATGAACAGTGCTGACTAAGACCATGACCTCCAAAACGTATCTCTTGATTTCCCCTTCAACTTCCACCTCCAATCTTCTGCCTCTTTATGCTCCACTGGGGCCGCGCTTGGCTATACATACATCCCGAAGTGCAACCCACTGCAGGTGGCCCTTCCGAAGTCTTCAATCGAATTTCAGGCCCCTGTTTCTTTGCTCACGGGAGCAGGTGTCATGGGTTGTCATGTTGTGCCCACTAGTCAAGGCAGCATAATAAATGCAGCCTGGGATGCCTTGGAGTTTCAACCGCTGGCCAATGGTCACACCCTTGTACCGAACTATATACCGCTTCTCAGGCCATGTGGGGCACTACTAAACAAGACAATCCAAAGGTTTGCCAAAATAGCATGAGCGGTCCTTAGGGTCTAGTAAAAAGCAGACTTATTAGACGGAATTGTAAAAATATAGCTCGGCTTGTTCGAGCCTGTGAGTAAGTCCACCATAGTCCACCAATTCACTGTGTTGATTCATTTCGACCTCTGACTGATTCCAAGATCCCTAGTGCAGACTTGCCGTGCCCTGAGCTCCCGGCATCCCCGGCCAAAAAAACATCCGCAGCCTGAAATGGATCGTTCGGAGGGTTGTAGATCCACTACGAGTCCCCCCCAAATCACAGCCTATCCAACCAAACGCTGTACAGAGTGTTTCACTCCAACAGCTCGCGTCAGCTCTTGTCGACCCGAACGAACGCCCCATGCTTTCCCGGTGGCCAAAAAAGCCGCTGCATGAGGTAGCTGTACATTGCTGTTTGAGGGTCGAGCTCGAGCATGCTGGAGCGTGTATGAATCGCGAATTAAAAGGGTTTCTGGCCTCAAAGCATGAGCTCACCACTAAGGTTCAAGACCCACCACTTGAGAAGCCAGGCTTGATGCATCACAATTGCCACGGATCTTGTTCTATCACCGTCGTCTTGAAAGCATCTCTCATCCCAGCCTGGGTCAAAGCGATGGAATTTTACTGTGGAAAGCTTCGGGGCCTCCAAAGTCCTATAGTACCTGTCGATATCCCAAATGCAAAGAGACCACCATATTAAATCATATTATATATTCTGAGGTTCTATTGGGGGAGCACTCTTGATCCATTCTGATGGCAACATCCATCTGTTCTACGAGAATTCTATTCTCTTGATGAACAAAAAAATACTTGGCCTGGGTCCGTTGCGATGATCCGCGCAAAAATGGAGTGGTGCTACCTTCGTCTCACCCCGTAAGGAATCACTGAGAAAGTCACTAAAGCAGATTCGAACTGACTCGCAAGTGGCCCAAAGAATCCCAAGAAAGACCTCAAATTCCACGAACAAAATCCTCTAAGCATCTTCCAAACTACCCAGGAAGCCTGGTTTTCACTGGACGTCTCAAATAGTTTATCTGGACTTGTATCTGGATAGAAAGTAGCTTCCCCTTTTGGAGTTCATGATTTCAGGCCCAAGTTGATCCCTGCCCATTCACTAGAAGGCCCATTCACTCACCTGCCCTTCAGACTTCTGTGGAAAACAGGTCCAAATAGGGCCCACTCTCCCTCACTCCCTCAATTCCCCTTGGAAAATAAAGGTTCACCGTTGTCCGTCTGTTCATATTTCGTGGCTTTCCCCCATCCGCCAAAAGAGGTTCATCCACTGACTGGGTAGGCTCTGATCCCCTTTTTATCCCTGTTTTCATGTTAGAAGATGTTAGAAGCGCTGAATCACCTCAACCAAAACAAGTGGCCTCATACTAACCATGGGCTCGACCTCACAGGGTTGGCTCGACCTCACAGGGTTGTATGCCCTTTTCGCGACGGCCCACAAGTCGTACGTTTCGCGACGCCCAGAAACCACTTGCGCAGTGCTTGGCGCAACCTCAGCTGCCACCAGGCCTTGTTTTGCCTCGACAACTCAGGGAACGGCTGCTTGTCCACCTGAAGCGAAGCAAGCGGCCCTAGGTCCCGATCTTCGAGAGCGGAGACCCGTTGTGGAGCAGAGTTCTGAGATGTTTGGTTCTGAGTTGATTGCCAACTACGAGTAACACCTGTGAGCCTAGTGTCTTGCAGTGGGGACCTTTGGTTTCAACAAAAAACACGCTGCCCCTCGTTAAACTCGAAGCACACTAGTATGAGTATGTATGAGTGCATATAGCGTAACACCAAAGGGTGGGGTCATAATTTTTGTCATCATGTTCATCATGTTGCTATATATTAAAAAATATTCCTAACGTAGCCCATGCCATCATAACCCATCATCACTGTCCGCGGCACCGCGGCCGTCCGTCCGTGCGTGTGAAAAACCGCGTTCGCAGCAGACTTCGTAACGGCGCAATACTTCGTCGCCTTCATGTGGATCACGATGTTTCCATCCGGAAGGATCTCCTTCTTGTACCTCCCAGGCGGATGTGATGGATGAGTTCACTCATCAGGGTGACGGCCAAGCAAATGTGGTGACCAAATGTGCTCAATCATTCGCAGAAGGGCATGATACCAGCCATCCGTGGACCACACAGTCAGAAAGTGAAAAGCAATAGAAATCCTTATGACCTGTCGCGACCAGAATCACCTTATGCTAGGCTTGTAGAATGCACTCTCATTCCTAGCACAAGCAATAGCAACCCAAATGCACGTGACATCCAAACGTCAGTGACAGTGGAAAAATAGAAAAACTGAAACATCATGAAGCAAAAATCCTTGGACATGCTCCCCGCCCTTTGCGAAAAAGAATGAACAAGAAAACCAGAGTCTACTGTCAGCTCCGGGGATGCGGATTGAAGTCAGGTTGCCCCGAACATCACATCCACAGACTCCAAACCACTCCAACCCGTTTGGGCTAGGGTCGTAGCTCCTGACGTGTAGCTCCTTAGAAGGTATATATTCGGACCCTCCTGGCACCCACCCCAAACACATCCAAACACCTTAATCCTTATATCAGAAGCTACGACTATGATCGCCCTACGGCGGAACTGCTTCTCGGGCGCGTGGCCAACGTCCGATGACGGGCGGTGACCCGCCCTGGCCTGGCGTGATTCACGTCCAACCACTCCTTCTCCGTCCGCTTATAGGTGTTGAAGATCATGTCCAACATGGGCCGATTGAAGCCTGGGTCTCTCAACCGTCTCTCTCGAAATGCGATCCATTTCTCGCAGACTCGACTCGCGCGACCAGGACTTGCGGCAAAAAGAGCTATATATAAGAGACCTGGGTGTGACATGTGGAAAACACACACCCATTACAACGCAAACGACGCAAACATTTGAGTCTGACCGTCTGACCCTTAAGAGTCGCTCATACGAGTTGTGTGGATACCACGAACCCGTCGTCTGACGAACGTGGCCGAAATCGGACAAACCTACCAACTGGCACGCCTCCAACCTACTAGCGATGGCTGGCCAAAGAACCATAGTTGGCCCGGTGATGCAAGTGATGATCCTGATGGTATTGCTCTTCCTCATAGGGCCCCTCCCTTCGCTGGTGCGCGTCCTGCGTGTGCGGGCGTCAGGTCTGGGTAATGTGGGGCGTGTGTTTGAGCATCTTGAGTATCATTAATCAACACTTTCAGTGCAAACGTAACCGATAGTAACATGAGTACCCTCAACCAAACATGTGGGAAAGGCAATATACAGCGGAAACGGCCCGCTGATCACGACGTGCATGCCGTGATCCGCCGTCCCATCGCGCCGTCTGGGCGTGATCCTTGTTCGCGAGCTGGTGCTTCAGAAGCCGATAAGTCCTAGGAGTGGAGCAGGAGTGGAGCATCTGAGGAGCTGGCAGGGAAGGAGCTGAAGATGGAAGTTGGTCTGCCGAATTCTGGAGAACGTTTCCTGCCAAGTCTGTCCGGGAGTTGAGCTATTTGACATGTAAAAAATGCATTATGGGTATAGTTATGTTCCATTCCCTGGGCCCAGTGGATGATGATGGTTCAGCCGACATCTCTAAAACGGTAAGAGTTGTTGACCGATGCAACACCCCAATAGGTTACCGGTTTAATCTCTTCATATCCCAAACGAAACACCTTTATATCCCGAACGCGGGCCTCTGGTGTGGTACTATCGGCAGAAACCCCACCTGGCTTTTTGCCAGAGACCACCCAATAAGGTGGTTCAGAAGAATGAGAAGCAACACAAAACCCAACAAAAGCACTGACTTGCAATCTGTTTCATGTGACGGGTGGCAAGGACAAAAAGGGACATGAGTGGATACAAGTGGTCATTATATATTGTCAATATATTGACCAGTTTGTTTCACCAAGAAAAGGACCAACGTCTTCTTTTCACACCGAACCCACCACCCACGTGCACGTGCCGACACGAAGCAACAAACGCCATTCGGAGCGAGTCGCATGCAGGGCACCGGCACCCCCGAGCGGAGCATCAGAATGTCCTGCTGCTCTGCGGTCGGTGAGACTCGTCTGGGTGCCGTTTTTCAGTGCTGACCCCGGTTGGATTGATTTGACAAAGAGCAGGAGATGATTGCAAAATATGATGATGTTCTTTCGAATAAATGAACAGCTGGGGGATGAGTGGTGGTTGCAATTGAGTAACTGGCTGCGGATTTAAAAAACACTGATTGACAAGTATATATTGACAACGAATCTGCCTCAAGATGAGGAAGGGGAAGTCACTGCAGCACATCCAATCAGGCGATTTCATTGGTGATTTCTTCCAGACAGATTCATTGATTGGAAGCTTGATGAGAGGACCTGATTGCCTATCGCACCAGGCCAACAAAAACAGGGAGTTTAAAGCACATTGCCCCCAAAAAGCAGCCTAACATTATAATGTTGTGATGCGTCCTCCGTCCCAAAATTATCAATGTTCAGAGTCCTTTTGCTTGGCGCGAGGGGCGGTAAGTGGTATCTGCCTGGAAAGGGTTCGGGCTTGTTGTGCTAATCAGCTGTTTTCTGGCCAGCATGAGGGCACCACCAGCCAACACGAAGCAACATGCAACTTTCCGCAATGCTTGAGCCATGTACCTCGAGTGGTTGTGCATGACACCATTCACTAAATAGTTGCCATGGTTGGTCAGCTGATTGTGATCTTTAAGCATTCTCCTGCACCTCCTCTCCTTAATCTCCTCGTCACAAACTCTAACCACCTCTAGCACTCCTAGCACCTGAGCATCAGGTGCCTCTTCTAGAGAGTTTTGAAATTCTGAAAGTAACACGTAGACTGGTAATGAGTCAAACCCCGTCTCAGGCTCCGTCTCGAGAATGGTTAACTCATCTCCAGTCCCAGGGTTCTTCATCAACAGTCTACATATGTCTATATTATAGTGGTTTCAGAGTAGATGGCACAATCCCCCAAAGTTTGTTGTTTTTGGTGGACCCCCATCTAAAAGACATCTTGAGAATTGATGTTTTGTGCCATCGGGCCTCTGAAACCAGCTAGCTCCCACGATGGCGCCCACACGGCGAAGGTCCAGCAGCAGAAAGAAGAACTCCTCCGGAAACCCTGCGCCTGGCGCGTTCGGTGCGCGGCCTCGATCGGTGAATCACCACGGCTTGCAAGGGCAGGTCCATCAAGCGAAGAAGGTCTTGAGACGGAGGAGGTCTTGAGAGGTCTTGAGACATCCAAAAGCCGGTCTTTTCCGAGCGAAATCGGCAAGCAAAGGGCCCCAATCCAGGGCTCCCACCAAAGTTACAGTGAGCCCCCCCGGTCTAAAGACCGAAAATCAACAAGCAAAGCTGGATCGGTCGCCATCCTCGTTCTGATTGTGTTTCAACCACCTGGAGTTTTGGAGTCTGAACTTAAGTACATGAGGTTTATTGGGCTCGAAATTAGGGGCTGTTGGGTATGTGGGCAGTTCTCAAGCTGTGGATTCCGAGATCAAGGGGTTGGCAGATGTCTCAGCATGGTCCTCCTCACCGGGGGTCAAACCTTCTGACATCACCTGACACACCGTTTTCTGGGTGCGGACGATGCTGCACGATGCCGTACTCCAAGCCGCACGATGCTCCCCAAAGAGGTGCTCCAAGCATGTTCAGAAGGCAGGTGGATCCCCCTAGCACCCACTTTCTAACAACTTTTTAACGACGTGGGACAGGAGCCCCAGCAAGGCACAGTGAGGACCCTTCCCCCCTTCCTTCTTCCCTCAGCCCGTTCTCCTGAGAAGAGATGCGCATCCCAGGCGGTTCCATCGGTCAAATGGTGATGGGTGCGATGCGCATGCTCGTAGACCGTGGGCAAGTGACCCAAGCGGTGAATGTGATAAAACCTGCAGCGAGGCCAAAGGGACGGTGGGGTGGTGGTCTTCTTTGCATGGCAGCATGGCTCCATAGACGGCGGAGGCTCCAAAAACACGACGTTACTGGAGTGAAGCAACTCGATTCAGCACAGTGCGGTGGATGCAAATCCTCAACCAGGTATTCATCCAGGGATTCTGACGAACTGGCTCCACGGCTTCCTGGATATATATATATATATATAGAGATTAATATTTAGTCGAATTCTTTCAGTGAATGGATGATCAACGGTCAGCCAGAACGCTGTCCCAAAAGTCCACTGAGCATCTACAGTGTCTACAGTGGTGGTTGGGGATTGCTGGAAAGGGAGTCACTACTGGAGTCACTCTAAAAAAGGAATGGGCCTTAGGGCTCCTGGCCCACCTCCTGAGAAGATGCTTGGGGTGGGTGCCAGGGGGAGGAGATGGTTGGAACTTCGAAGAAGAAAGCTCCGTCACCCACATGACCTACTCGTTCCACCGCGGGTGGACTCCGAAATGACCAGCCACAAGCTCTCCCAGGCCAAAATCGTGCTCTGCAAAGGATTGTTCACCTCAGGTGGTGTATATGCCCCGTGATTTGCGGCTCGCGGCCAGCTGGGAAGATAGCAACACCGGGCCAGGAGATCTAGGAAGGTTCACTCCAGTTGGGGGTATCACTTCACTTGCGGATGCTTAAATTCGCATCAGATCGTCTCAGTCTTGTCTGAAGGCTCTCCACCCCTCTCCATTGTTGAGGGTGCCTCGGAACGAATATGTGTTCCCCCATTAGACCTTGTTGGGCTCATGTCCTGGCAACTGGAAGACAACTTGCACCCTTCAAAACCACCCCGAAAGAGCTCAAAACCGACATTTGGCTGGAATCTGGGTCAGCCAAGGTGAGAGTGTTCCTCTTGGACTCAAAGAGTTTCTTGGAGTGTTCTTTAGTAATTTATAGTAGTGTCTTTCTTAAACCTCTGGAGTTCAAAGGCCAGCTGCTTGCGGGAATGGTGAGGAGCCTGCTGGAAGAAACATGTGGTGCATCACAGCATCCCTGCTTGTGACTTGGAAGTGGGCAATGGAACGTGAACCGAGGCATGCGAACCAACTGACGGCCAGAAGCGTGAAATAGTGAAGCACTTGGTTTCAAGCCAAGCACGTGCGAACTCAACATGTTTCAACTCACCTGGCTGCAAACCAACAATCCCATGCCATGCGTCCAAAGGAGAGATGCCCAATACAGCATCTAACAGGATCCAGCTCAAACTCACCTGAAGGACGAGAGATGACGAGAGAAGCTGGGGCCGTTTCAATGGACTCACAGGATTATGCATCCCACCTAAAAGTAAAAACACATTAAATATATCATATCATACTATAATCCATTTGAAGTTTGAAGCCCCGAAATGGATCAAAGTATGACGAATTGCCGGGGTGTGGGTTATGGCGAAAATCACTGGACAGGATCGTCCAAGAAACGTGGGAACTGTTTGCTGATTCCCTTGGCTTAAAATGTTAGGCGAGTTAGTTCCCTGATCATGGTAGCCCGCAACCCTCTCCATTGGGTTAGTATAATTATATAATATATAGAAACGTGTCCAAGTCCTCCGAGAAAAACAATATTTTACATAAGGAACACCAGTCACCGTCGAAAAAATCTATCCGTGGTGATGATGGTGGTGATGGAATCCTCAGCACAGCCAGAACCCGGGATTCAAATGTTCAATGTACGGTCTGACAAAAAACTGAAGCGACTGAGATTTTTCTCATGCGATGTTCTAGGAAATGGTGCTCAAAGTGGTTTGCCTGGAAACCAAGTCCTTTTTGCACATGGGACCTTTGAGGTCCGATCTCCTCCCCGCTCCAAGTCGCACGAGAGCCCTTGCACATCAGCAGCAGCAAAAGGATGTAGCCCTTTCCATTGAAGGTTCTCAGCCGAGCGGTGAAGTTGCACAAATCCACAAGAAACACCTGGACCTAGTCAAATCTTGATGACCAACCAATCGACTCCAAAAATAACTACTATAATACCTTGTTTATCTTTGTTTTGTTCCAGTAGTCTTCCAGAATGTTTATGTCTTCGCCGGATGATCTGGCAATGGCTGCAACTGGTGAGTTGCTAGACCTTCAAAATAGTCATCTGTCCAGTCTGTCGTTCATCGAATCCAGTGACTCGAAAAGATTTCGTTCACAGGGTGAGGTCTGGGATATGAGAAACTGGGAGGCAGTAACTGTACAACATACTGGGCAAACATCGAAATACCTCTTCAAGCCTCACAAAGCTGGTAGTTCCACAAATGCAGTTTCCGCTGTTCTCCCTGGTTTTCCTGGACCTGCTGAACCGTCGAAGCATAGCTCGGAACCATTCCAGAACCAGGTCCAAACCAACCACCTCAACTCCCCTTCTCCGAGGTTCCCGTAAATCATGTGCTGCAGCTCCTTCCACAAGGGCAGGTGTTTGGGGCGGCCATCGGAATTCTCCCACAACCTCAGGATGAAACGAGCAGTTGACTGGATTAGAAAAAAAAAGATCTCGGGCCCAAGAAGTCGTTCCAATTTGATAGATCCCTGGACCTGAAAGCGAGGAGAGGCTTCGCAAGGCTTCGCACCGGCCACCCAAACTCTGTAAGTGGGCCTGACTGGCCTTGTGCAACGGGCTGGCCTTTCCAACGGGCCTGCTCCTTTTGCCTGCTCTGCTTTGTGAAGCGTTTTGGCCTTTTGTTCACCAGCCCTCTTGGCCAGCATCTGACCATACAATTCTTTGGCTTCTTGGGGGGCCCTCATGGCTCAGGAGCTGGTGGTACTGGGCCATGCTCTTCTCATGGCCAGGCTCTCAAAGGACATTCCTTTATGGGTGGCACAGCCCCGACACTTGAAGGCCATGAAAACTGTGCCCTTGCACGCCTTATGCCATGCCCAAAACGCAAAAGAAGCGCATGGATGGATGCCATAACTTTCAAGTTGTCTGCTTTCCCCTTCTGCTTGATATTGTCATGCATTTCTGCACAAGGCATGAAGAACTTGGCTGCCTCGAGCACATCACGACCAGTAATGTCAGGTCAGGGTACACCTAAGCGAAGCCTGTTGCCTGGCATGTTTCAGTTCCTGAACAGCAACTCCATCCATGGTCGCCAAGTTGAGTGCTTTCAAGTGCCTTAGTTTCTCCATTTCGTCAGAATCCTTGGCGGCTTGCCGCTGAAAAGCCATTGCCAAAATTTGAAAAGAAAACAACAACTGTGCAGCTTGAGACAAAAAGCTGTTCATGAATATCTGTGCCACTGCCACCACAACCGAGAAACACACACACACATCAAATTGACTGCAGCCTTCAAGGTTCCTGACAGCCTTTAACAACCGAAAGAGCGGAGACTTGGCTACAGCAGGTGAATCCAAAGCGGTATGTGCATTCCAAATCATTTTTTGAACCCACAACTTCATATTGACGAGCATGTCCAAAGGCCAAAGAAGGAGTGATGTTTTGCAAACGAGTCTTTGGTCGCTGCTGGTTTGCTGGCCCATGTGAAGACTTTGAAGAATGCATGTGCTGATTTTGGGCTCCGCGGAGGTGTCGCAACAGCTCTCCCTGATTGGGCAAGAGATTGGGCCCGTGATATTTAAGGTTCATGTGCTTGACATCCCTGGCTGTCCAGGGGGGGCCTGGCACCTCATGCCCTCCAACGACATCAGTGCTCGGCTGACTGTTCTCGAATGTTGGGGAAAGGGTCAGTTAGCAGCAAACTCAGGCGAAACAAGTTGGGGAAAGGGTCAGTTAGCAGCAAACTCAGGCGAAACAAATCGAACTGAGATGAATGGCTGATGATCGGCTGATGCTTTTCATGAGCTCAGCGGATTCGTCGTCTTGCGCATGTCGTTCCAACCAAAGCATCCATGGCCTTCAGACGCCGTGCGACGACGTGCCGACGACGTGTGTCCACTCTCGAGTGGCGGTCGATCTCGAGAAGTAGCACATCATAGCACTCTTCGGCACTGATGCCATCGGAACCTGACTGGAAACCATTCCGGAACCCGGCTTCCGCTGCATTCCTGCAAGTTGGCATGGTGCGGTGTGAGCTGATGAAGTCTCCAGTCTGCATGGACGCGGTGGAAAAAGGTCGGCACCATGCAAAGTGGCACTTCGGACCAGCGAAACTGGCTGAGATCCGACGGGTTCAAAAGGTGGAGCTGTGCTGCCAGGCCGTCAGTGAAACAAAGGGATGCTTGTCGCGGTTGGGTTTGTGGTGTGCAAATCCACAAAAGGACGAACTCCGAAGCATTTGAAAGATCTTGTTAGCAGCCCATACATTTGCAAGCCAGTCATGAAGTTTGTTCCGGGTGTGCATCGTGCACAGAGCATGTGGCACAATGGCACCAAGCTACGTTGCCATCTTTGTTTTGTGCAAACCAGTGATTTCCCAAGGCATTTGTTTAACAGATCTGTGCCTTACGGATTTGCGGCAGCGACGATGAGATCAAATGATCGGGCGATGACTTAGCTGCTTTTACTGATCTGCTTAGCTGTGTTTCACTACTCGGTGAATGCAGATTTGGCCCAGCTGACGATGAAGACAACTAGCTCTGACGAAGAATCGCCTTGCGAGCAAACGGTGAGCGATGCCGGTTTGTTTTCTTTGTTTTCGTACGCACTCTGCCAAGAGAGCTCACGAAAAGTCTCGGAATAGAAAAGGAGTTGGACTGCTTCTTGCAACAGCCAGTTTTGTGAAACCTCTCACGACTCTCGTGGAGACTCACACGTACAGGTCGCCTCGTCGAGACTCCAACCCACTTGCAGCGCGTGCGACGAGCGAAAGAAAACACCAGGCTTCTGGTTTTGAGGTTCTCCAGGTTCTACAGGGTCCCCACTGGCGAATGAAACTCGTTCTTTAAACAAATGAGTTTGCTTGGCTGCCATCCGTTATTTTGAGCGAGTTGAAATGCCCAAAAAACGAGTCTCAGTCTGGTTCCCTTATATGACTTGGTTCCCATGCGAGTCCATGCCAAGACTTCAGGGCCGTGGGGGCATACCAAGACTTCAGGACGGGTGTGCTGGTACCAGTGGTAGCCTATATGAGTCCTCAATAGGAAGACAAGTTCATCCATAATCCTCTCTTGAACACGTAGAAACATTCTTTCTCAGGACAGCCATTCCAGCAAGTGCTTGGCATTTGTTCCCCTTTTGTGTTCCTCCGCCGTGATCCGTTCAGCTTCGCTTCAGCCCTGGAACGCATAGTACGCCGTGACCAAAAAGTCCAAGGACAAGAAGGCCACGTTGAAGCTGAGTGCGGAAGACAGTTACCCCGCCAAAGACTAAACATGGACCCTCAATGACTCAAAACCAGCGGATTTGTAGAGGAAGAACCGTCGGACGACCCGTGTGCCATGCTTCTCCCCGGGAGGGTGAACATGTGAGTGACATGGGGAGCGTGGCATCGTCAGGTACACTCAGTGATCTCTAAAGAATTCGAATTGGCACAGTAATGAACCGAGTCCATGGACTTCTTCAGCGCAGTAGCTGCGGAAGAACTCGAAACAATATATCATCGCTCTGAATGGCGGGAGGTCTATATCTGTCAGTTTCTTCCAGTTTTCCCCGGTAAAGGACCGTACGGTCCAGTGCCTGGGAACCTCTGCCCCTGTCTTGCCCGTACTCCCGGTCTCCGCTTCCCCGAAGAAAGTCCTCCCAAAAGCATCCTGGCCCAGCGGGGCGTTCCACGGGGCTGTTGGCCTGGCACGTGCCACACGGGGTTCTCTGGACATCCGCCAGGTCGCCCGTAGGTGATTTCCAGGCTGAAGTCCGGCAAGGGCAAGAAGTGGATCACTAGAGCTGAAAGCAAATGGCCCAAGACCTTTGACACTCGAAGCTGATCGCAAATCATAGGAATCCCCGGGTGGGAGAAGATCTGGACCTTCCTGCAAGCTAAGAGACATGCGTGAGGAATTGCATCACACCCAACCTCGGGAATTCGCATGAGAAGTTCACACACCGCTGTGCAGCACAATTGTGTGTCTCTGCTGTGCGAGGACGCACCCCGTGTGTAGCACGAGCACGGAGCAAATCGCCAGGCGATTTCATCGACAACGTTCGAAACAAACATGAATTGGTTTTGGCTTGATGGTCTCCAAACGAACTCCTTCTTGGGATCTGGTCGGGCCTAACAAATCATTTATCAAGGGGTGGAAGTCCCAAGTTGCTGAACATGGTGTTCCGGGTGTGGTGTCAAGGAGTTCTTGCAAAACGCCAAGCTCGTACTGCAAGGATCGCCAGCAGGTGTGGTTGGCATTGAAGTGTCGCCAAATTGGGCCAAGTAAAGACCTCTTAGACCTAACACGAGGCGAAGGCTACAATAAAACAACTTGCCTGGACCTTCTCAATAATCGTCTCATGGGAATCGCATTGATTGCCCTCCCCAACCAAACCAAATACATCCCTGCAAACAAAAGGCGTTTTAAAGGTAAACATGCTCAAACGGACTGCCCTTGTCAGGGTCCTCTATCTCCAACCACTGGAGACTACTACTCCAACCTCCAAGTACCTCCTAAGAAGGTGTTTTGGGTGGGTTGGAGGTTCTACACATGTTCTAAACTACTACCTTCTGAGGAGGTGGTTGGAGCTGTAATTGGTGTTGACGGACTTAGAGGGCCCAGCCTGGCAAACACAACAGCCTGAGCTAGGCCAACTTAGGCCTGTTCCAACCCTCGCCACACATCATCTGTCCAAATCCCACGTTCCATCCCACCCTTCCAACATCTTCGCCTCTCGAAATATCGCGTCGTCTCCAACAGCCCAGCGTCATGAAGGAGACTGCCAGTGAGTAGGGTGCCACCACAAATTGCACACATCCCACCAGCAGGAAGATCCCCAAATTGTCCGAAGCCATGGCCGTCAAAATCCA